GAAGGGGTGTGATTTACTCTGTAAAGCAATTGCATGGTTAGGGTTGGCACACCCAGGCAGAGTGGAGGCAGAGACCTCTTCGGGCTACTGGTTCTCAGGTAGTTCAAAGGAAGAAGTGGGGTCTAAAACAGGCATGGGGTGGGGACTGTGTGGTGACACAAGTAAGCCCTTCCAGATCAGTTATTTCTATGCTGATATTTAAACGGAAAAGCCTGAAGAGGACTCTCCTTTCGCTCTCCCTTCAGCTTTAAGGCCCAGTGTACAAAAGGCAGGGAAGGGTCTGCACCTGGGTTTGGGGGGCCTTCAACTTCTTCTTCCTGACTTCTTCTCTCTCTCTCTCTCTCTCTCTCTCTCTCTCTCTCTCTCTCTCTCTTTCTCTGCATGTGTGTGTGTGTATGTGTGAGTGTGTGTGTGTGTGTGTGTGTGTGTGTGTGTGTGTGTTTACAGCCTGGGAGTTTACTTATCTACTCCCCCCAGGGTTGGCTCTTAGCCTCCTCTCATCAACTCCCTCTAAGGATCTTTTCTTGGGACAAATATTCAGCAGGTACTGAAGGATTATGACTCTATGTCACTTTCTGACTATTTTCCTTCCTCTTAAAGCAGGGTGTATGAGAGAGGGATTCCCAGTACAGATTTTTTTGGCTTTCTTAATGTTCAAATGATATTATCAGCCTAATTGCACCACAATTCTGATTAGATATCAAGTTTATCATACAGTTTCTTGAATTTCCCATTGGTCACAAATAGTACTCATGTCTTTTTTAAGAGTTATTAATTAAGTCTAATTTTTGGATGCCTCAGCCCCTTATTCCTACTCCTCAAAACATGACCTTAAGCCTATTTAGAAATCCCAGTTCTCACTAAAGAATAACCCTCTGAGTTTTGAGATGCTCAGAGTTCCTTGAAAAATGTACAGTAATTTGTCATACTCTACTTATTGGTTCTATTTTTGAATCCATGTGAAATCTCAGCTTCCTCCCTCACCCCTAGTTTACTTTACAAATGCTCCTGCTAAACTAACCCGCTTCTGATTTCCCTCATTCCTTCAGACTACTTTAGTGTAGTCTGAAGCAACAGAAGGACTTACTAAATTTGTATATTCTTTCTGAGGCCGGGGGCTTTGTGGGAACACTTATAACAATTTATCAAATATGGAGAAGAAGGCCATTGCAAATCTTGAGTGCACAGGGAGAACCGAATGTGTCTGGGTTTTCTGAGAAGATATTTGTTTATTCATAAATTATTTGTTGAACATCAGCTGTGTACTAGGCATTGAAATTTAAGCTTGTGTTAGTCACTTAAGTCATAGTTTTTAAAGAGACCAAAGCCTAATAGTCGAAGATAGACTTTTCAACCATGATTGTCTCAGAGTATTTATAGGTCATATAATTAATTTATATACCAGGCCCAATGAAGAGACAAGGAAACATTTGATAGAGGTTGGGGAAGCTTAGAGGGGTGACATTTTAGTTTCTAAGAGATGATCCGGGTGTAGCATGAGTTAAAAGGGTATGGCATGAGTCATAATGGTGAGATTAGGCACAGGCATTCCATGAGATCTCTAAGTACCTCTGAAAGCTAAAAGGGCAAAGATGGGGCTTACTAGGATATATGGTTGGAGAGTCAGCCAAAGAGAGCCAAGAATGACATATGAGGGGCTTTGAATTTATCCTGTGAATAAAAGAGAGCATTGGAAAGTTGTTTTTTTTTTAATTTTTGTTTGTTGGTTTAACTCTAAGTTCTGGGGTACGTGTGCAGATTATGCCTTGACAGGTTTTAAGCAAGGTTGTTATATGACCAGATTTTCCTTTCAGAAAACCATTTCTTCAGCAAAAAGTTTGTGCTGAGACTAAGTCAAGTACCATTGCAATCACTCACATAAGCAAAGGCCTTATTCCAATGAAGGAGGGGTGGGTTGTGGGTGGGGCCAGGAGTAGAAGATACTGTCGGGGTGGTGAGGAAGTGGATGGGATGGAGGGTGGAAAGAGAGGTTTCCAAAAGTTTTAAGAAGGTAGACTTGACAGGACATGAGAGATTTTGAAGTGAGTGATTAGAGAAAAGGAAAAAGCGGGCAGGGCACGGTGGCTTACACCTGTAATCCCAGCACTTTGAGAGGCAGAGGCAGGCGGATCACAGGGTCTGGTGTTTGAGACCAGCCTGACCAACATGGTGAAACCCCGTCTCTACTAAAAATACTAAAATTAGCTGGGCAAGTTGGTGCGCCTGTAATCCTAGCTGCTCCAGAGGCTAAGGCAGGAGAGTCGCTTGAAGCTGGGAGGTGGAGGTTGCAGTGAGCCGAGATCACCCCTCTGTACTCCAGTTTGGGAAACTGAATGAGACTCCATCTCAAAAAATAAGAAAAAGAAAAAGAAAAGAAAAGAAAAGGAACGAAAAAGCGTAATTTGGGAGAAACATTAGTTTAGACTTAGAATTTAGAACTTTAGGTACCCATGGAACTTCCAGCTGGAGAGGTCCAGTGGACAGTAAATATTTGAGACCATCACTCAAGAAGGCAGTTAACAAAGACATCTTAGCCTCAGAGTTCCTTGAATCCTTCATTTTAATGAGCTTCCTCAGTCTTCACTTCAGAAAACCATATCTACAGTCAAGTCTAGATCTTGAAGTCACCTTCACCTGCTCTAAATTTGAAGAATTAAGATCTGGTATGGCAATGTGACCACTGGTTTCTTGTATGTTCAAGCTCTCATATTGCTTTATGTCCATATCTTTTCACTTAATGACCCGATGACATGAAGTCACTCAATGAGTCGTTAAGTCAAAGTCATTGAGACTTTATGTCCTGCCACATCTTCTTTTCTCCAAGTCTATCAGAGCTAGTATTGTTATTCCTTTCTGTAACCAGTCTAGACCCTAAAGGAACAGTCCTTCCCTTTAATATATAGTACACACAACATGCTCATTCTTTTACTTTCTGACATACTCGTGCTGCAGACTCTTTATGTTGCATCTGGGAAGCTGAATGCTGAAAGGAAGCACATAATGGTGCAGACAGGGGCCACCACTAATGTATAGATTACAGTGCGTTTCTCAACACTTCTGTACAATATATTCATGCGGTTCTTTTCAGATTCCTTTACTGAAAACTGTGGGACATTTCAAACCTTCACTGCTTTCTTCCTGTCTCCATTCACACTGATACCCTGCCTCCAAACTCAACTGACATATGGTCTTATTCTTTGCTTCAAACAGTTGAAGGTACCGAGTCTGACTCTTTTAACCATCCAGTGTCTTCAGCTTATCCAGGAGTTCACTTAAATGCCTTTTCTTCTGATCACAAAGGAGAAGATAAGTGAAAGATATTAATGTTCTAAGATCATTCTGTGTTCTTCACCTGCTCATTTCTGCTTTACTTATTCCTTCTTTCTCCTCTACATTAATCTCTCTGTATTGATGTTTTCTGAGAGTACTATGAGTTTAGCATAAATTATGTAATGATATCCTTTAGGACAAAAAGAAAAGAATGGTGGTTATTTAGAATGAAGTGCAAGGAATACCTCTTCTCATTTCAGCATACCAAGTACTGACTTAGAACTGGTGTTGGATTCAACTCCCTAGGTTGTGCCCTTGAGATAGTTAATATAGGAAACTGAATTAAGAAAATTAGATTGTCTGTTTTGAGACGAGGACTCAAGGTGATACCAACATCGACTTGAGCTTTGTATTTTATTTAAACATCTGCCTATGTTGTATATGCTTTCCTGTACTTTTGAAACCTAATGACATGATATCCCAGATGTTTAAAATAAATTATTTTTAATTTGTTACATGCTTGCTACATTTCAAATTCTGGACTCAAATTATGGAAATATCTCTAATTTCCCTATAAATGTTGTGAGATGTAGTGGTTTGGAGCCACCTCACCCAAGCTAATAAGAGCTAATTTTGCACGTCTCTTCACAAATTCTGTTCAATGACTTGAATCAGCCATAGCAGGAGTATTTACACTGTGGGGTCAACACTAACTGCCAATTTTCATTTCAGGGACCTTGTTTACCAGCTTGCTACTTAAGATAGGACATATGTATCCATTTTACAGCTGAAACAGGCTCAGATAAATAACTCCCTAAATTAAGTTAACTGTGGAAGCTACATGGGTTTTGGGGAGGCAAGGCAAATATTAATAATGTCTTATTCTTTTCTCCTATTCTCTTCTTAATCTCTTCTTTTTCTACTGAAGTTGTAGAGTCCAAATGGATTTAGATTTTCTCCATAGAAGTTTAAATATCCTTGTGATCTGTGTGTATGTGTGTGTGTGTGTGTGTGTGTGTGTGTGTGTATGTGTATTTATTTATTATTATTATTATTTTGAGACAGAGCCTCACTCTGTTGCCCAGGCTGGAGTGCAGTGGCATGATCTCAGCTTACTCCAATCTCTGCCTCTGGGTTCAAGTGATTCTTCTGCCTCAGCATCCCCAGTAGCTGAGATAATGGGCATACACCACCACGCCTGGCTAATTTTTGTATTTTTAGTAGTATTTTCACTGTCTCTAATAGGTTATAATGCTAACATTTTGATGTTCTTATATTTTACTTTCTTCATGAAACATAAACAGATCATAAGACAGTCTTTGAGATCTAGAGGTTAGTGTATATTAGGATATTTTTTGTTATGCTTTGTTCTTTAACAAATATATTTGCAAAATATTCCTAGCACTCAATTTATTAATTCCTATTATATTACTAACCAGTTCTATAACTCTGAACAAGTTTTCTGAGTTGTTTAGGATGGGGATGTGACCAGTGACCCCTAAGGTCATGGTCATTCAGGCCAGCTTTAAAATTCTTATGTTTCTGGTAAGTAGAGTATGCCTCAGTGTGCCCCTAGGTAACTTTATTTAGGACTTAAATTCACACTAATATTGACTGTGGATTTTAAGTCCTAAATAAAGTAATTTCCATTTAATTTTATTAAAGATGTAGCTTCAGAGGTAAGTTTCATTATTTTGTTATGCAATAAGGATTTTATTTTGTTTGAAAAGTTTCAGGATCTGAAGCTGAGGGAATTCTACTGTGAGGGAAACCCACTGTTCCTGCAGTGGCCAGAGATTGCTAAGCAACAGGAGAATGTCTGGAGTCTACAGGTGAAGGCTTACCTCATTCACTTAAGTATTTAAACTAAAGCCACAATTTAAGTTTTAAAGAGTTTCTTTCTTTTCTTTTTTTTTTTTTTTTACTTCATTAGTCTCATATCTGTAGAAATATTTATTAGCTAAAAATGAGCTGTATGTTCATAATATTGGCAAATAATTCTACTTGAGTTCACATTTTTTAAATTATATTTTAAGTTCTGGGGTACATGTGCAGAACGTGCAGGTTTGTTATGTAGGTATACACATGCCATGGTGGTTTACTGCATCCATCCTACCGTCATCTACATTAGGTATTTCTTCTTATGTTATCTTGCCAAGCCAGCAAATAATTAATGTAACCCAACTCCATTGGCAGTATGGATCCTATACATAATCTTTTTGACTTGTTTATAGAATCCAATGTAATCCTCTACTCCCTTTTTACTTGTCTCTATCCCTAGTGGATGAATGAATATGATCCAGAAACTATGTTCACTTCAGCAAAACAAGTTAATGGCATTAAAAGAAGGAAAAGGAAAGCATGTTAGAGGACTCTTTGGTAATAGACAAGTCAGAGATCACAGATCCCCCCACATTTAACTATGATTCTCCATCATGAATTTAGATTTCCAAGGTCTATTTGGGTCTGTAGCTAATGTGCAGGGTTGTCATAAGACTTTTGGGATTTGTATGGATCTCAACTATCAGTCTTGTCCAGTGGCTTACTTTTTTTTTTAAATTAAATTACTGCATGAGTTACCTGTTTAATTATAGAAAACTAGAAAACACAGATAAACAATGAAGAAAATAAAAATTTCTTTATACTGGCTTTTAAAAAGTTTCTTACTACAAAAGTAATACAAGCTCCTTTAGAGAAATTAGGGGGAAAAGTTGATAGAATTAATAAAAATACTAAGAAATCTAATTAATACTTATCTCTCTGACATTTATTCTTTTAGAATTTTTATGCATTCAGAATATTTTTGTAATTAAAGATGAGTTCAAACTCTATATACTATATAGACTTGTTCTCAGTTATTGTGAATAGCTTTCCAATCAGTGAAACAAAACAAACAAAACAAAACCAGGCCATGACATCTTTTTTGATGAATACATAGTATTCTGTATATGATGATATCATGATATTTTTAACTGCTTCCCCACTGTTGGATGTTTAAATTATTAATAGTTTTCTGGGCTTTTAGCCTTTATAAACAAAGATACAAGGCTGGGCACAGCCTGAAACCCCAGCACTTTGGGATATTATAGCAGAAGAATTGCCTGGGCCCAGGAGTTGAGAATTACCTGGCTAACAGAGTGAGACCCCATCTCTACAAAATTTAAAATCCCTTGCCAGGCTCAGCTACTCAGGAGGCTGAGCTAAGAGGATCCCTTGAGCCCAGTAGGTTGAGTCTGCAATGACTTGGGATCATGCTACTGCACTCCAGCCTGGGTGACAGAGCAAGATCCTGTCTCAACCCCCACCCCCCCAAAAGTCAAAAAGCAAGAACAACAAAAAGCAAAGTGACAGTGACCATTCTCATAGTAAATTTCTAGCACTTGTGCATATTATCCCTAAAAATGAAACTGCTGGGCCAAAGAATTGGCGTCTTGTAAAGTCTAATTTCTTTTTTCAAATTTTCTTTCACAGAATATTTTCACAAACATCATTATTTCCTACTCTTCTATAACAGAAAAACATCTCATTTGAAATTTAATTGTAAATAATTTGAATAACTGTTGTGTTTAATTTTTATTCCTTTATAACTTATTTTTTTCTCCTGTCATCAAGTATTTCAGTATAATAGTAGTAGCTAGCACTTATTTTATGCTTATGATGGATAAAGTACTATTCTAAGCACTTAATAGGAATAAACTAATTAAGTCCTCTACTAACTCTATAAAGATAGATATCATTATTGGCCACTTTTAATAAATAAAGAAGTGGAGACCCAGAGAGGTCAAATAACTTATCTGAGGTCACAGAGCTACCAAGTGTTGGGACAATGATGCTATCTTAAGCAGTTGGGTTCCAGACTCCTGGCTGCAATATTGGTTCAGAAAGGGGATGTAGGGAGCTGAGGGAAATGGAGGCAGGATTGTCCTGGGCTGGAGAAGATTCTGGTTTGTGGAGGAGGCTGGATGAGCAGTTAATCCAATCTGATAGCTGTCTTACAGAGAGCCTTCAAGGGTAAGAACCCTGCCCTGTGACTGTTAATGAGAGAGAAATTGTTCTGATTTTCAAAACTGTAGGCTCCAGGTGCACAAAAGTTAATTTTTACAATATATTTAGTGGAAATAGCTATTTTTTGCCTGTAATATGTAAATGATTTGGGTAGTTTTAAGAGTATTTATTAGAATTTTTCTCAGAAAAGTGCCTTAAATTGATTTGTATTTAAAGTAAGAGTTATTTATACTAGGCATTTAGTCAATGTTGCTGATTAAGCTACTTGCTATGTCAGAGAATTCTAGTAACTATGATATGAGTTATGCCTTGGTAATGATTTTTAAAACATTACCTCATCTCAGAGATTTATGAGGTAAAATTTAATGCTAATAATTATATTATAGCAAATATTAGCCAGAATATACTGCATTAGTAGATGCCAGGCTAAATGATTTACCATTGTTATATAATTTAATTCTCCAAACTCTTTGTGATAGTATTGGAAAAATCTCTATTTTACAGATGAGGTATTCAAGATAAGGGAAGTTAAGGATTCACCCAAATATGATCACACAGCAAATAAGTCATAGAGCGAGAATTTACACTTATGTATATATTTGTCTCTGACTTTGAATTTTTGCTGTTATTGCTATTTTTTAGTGCCTATTGTACACATAATAACACCTATTATATAATAGTTCCAAAATGTATCACTCTTAAGGATTCATATTTGTTTTTGTATTTTATATTTTTATATTATACAATTTTTATGTATATAATTTAATAACTCAAAAATTATATGTAAGGAAAGATAGGATATATAGACAAAATTAATTTCAATTTGTGATTAATTATAATATAGTTAACTTGTAAATATTCTAAGAAAATAGCATATAAGCTCTCTAACAGGAGCAGTTTGAATATTTTGAAATATTTTTATAGACCACTTTGGTCTATAAAAGATTTCTTGACTTTTAAATAACACTGGTATATTCTCAAAAATTGCATTGAATGCATCTCTAAGAGGTCTCCTAAAAGATACTGTTGATCATGCCAATAGTATTTTATATATACTCACATTTCCAAGTAATAACTTTATATTTTAATAGCATATGTTATCCTTCGAAAGTAACACACTGGCAACAAGTAGGAGAAAAATATAAATAATGGGTTACGTGTGTAAGAGCTGTCAAATATACTGAGTGCAACAAACATGTTTGGGTCCAGAAATCATAAATGGAAAAAGTGATCTGTGTGACCTATTTTTAGGTCCGTTGTATTTCAACAAATGCTTCTATCATCTGCTATTTTGGGTAGTGAATCCTTATCCATGAGTTTTCCACAGCTTTATAAGACTTGGCCATTGAATTCATGTAGCAAAAAGCCTACCTATTAAATCAATATTTCTTTAAGAATCACAAGCTATGCTCTGCTTCAGTAGTTGGAGAAAGGGTGATAATAAACATCTGATTTAGGTGCCCTGGTAATATTAGTGTGAAAGCATGACCTCAGTCATGCAACTACCCAGAAGAATGAGCTTAAGTGGATAGGAGGTTATGCTGTTGAATGATCGGACATAAAAGAAATCCATGCTCAGGGCTGTTTATTGTATAATAGCAGCTTTCTCGGGTGCATGTTAATTGGGAGGGATAGAGTAATAGGAAACAGGGGCACAGCAATTTATAAGATATTGCTGCGTTTTTTTAAAGTTTTTAAAGATTTTAATTGGGGTGAATGAGTGAAAGATTATGTGTGTATATATGTATTTTCAAAAATTCCTGTCAGAGTTTTATGTGGACTGTTTTAATACTGCAGGGAAATCTTTCACTTTGGTCAGGAAAAAAATGTACCAAATAAATTATCCCCAAACACTATTAAAATTTCAAGCAGTGTTTGTGTAACATTTATACAGGACTTCCATGCTACTGACACAAACAATGGATAACATTTAATGGATTCAGGCAAAGGTTTATTTATTTTCCTTGCTTGGTCAGTGAAGATTTAATTTTATGTATTATGTAATATGTTTTTATTAAGATTATGATAGCCCTAGTGAAAGGCAACTTCCATTTCCTCACTACCTCTCTTTATTATTTAGTATTTTACTATTATTATTGCAAGTCAATTTTCTGAACGTATCTAGGTAGATAGGTTTAACAAAGATTAAATTCAGAGATTTGGTTCATAGAAATCATTGCTTTTTTTTCAAGATGGCACTATTCAGGTCCTCAATGCAGCAAGGAATTTAGACCAGTGCTTCTCAAATTTCAGTATGCATATAGATTACCCGAGGTCCTTGTTAAATTGCAGATTTTGATTCAGTGGGTCTGGAGTGTGTCTGACATTCTGCATATCTAAGAAGCTCCCATGTGATGCAGTCTGTGAACCACAGTTTAAGTAGTGAGGATTTAGACCTTAGTGAGTATGACAAAATTCATTTTTGAGTCCAGTCTGAATGTTTGCACAGTCTTTGCTTATTGTAATGAGAGGTACCAGCTTTAAACCTAAACTATATCTAACTTTATAAAATGTGTAATGCAAATGTATTATGACTTGGATTCCTATATGTAAGAGATACAGAATTATGACAATGTAAGAAAATTATTGTTTTTATATTGATGAAAACCAAACTTATTTGAAATGTCAGTCATTTACAACACAATTCATTAGATGTACAGCAGAATCTTAATTTAACAGAATCTAGATAATAAGCCAAACATTTTTTCTAGTGAAATGGAAATAAACATGTTGTAAAATAGTTTTAAAAATGATCTGAGGAATTATATTCCTTTTTTTTTCAATTTAGGAAATAACATCAAGATTTGTAATTAATCATTTAGCAGAAAATAACCCTTTCCTAATGGATGCCATGGAATGGTACCCAGAAATCAGAAGCATAATCTCTCGGAGACAAACATGTGCAATATGTGGACAATACTTTATAACTATATGGTTGGAATGTGTTCAGTTTGTTCCTCCACCAAAGGTAAATGATGCTTTTTGTGCGAATACCAGCATGAGACCTATTCCTATCCTTTGTTCTTATCTAAATCTTTCAATACTAACTAGATTTGTACCTATGATTGGCTTATGGATGGTATACTGTTGATTTAGGATAGACAGATTTGGATAAGTATCTGTAATAATCATTGTCACCTCTTCTGTTTATATTCCTAGGCTCCCAGATTTATCAGAATATATGCATTCTAGCAAAATTTCATGGAAGTTGAAAAATTTTACTCAGTAAATCATTAAATCCCATTTGTTTATCAATCTTAATAATAAAACCAGAACTGTAATTTGCTCAGAAGAAGAACTGGTCAGTAGTCTGTTGTGGAATTCTTGGTATAGAAAGGTGAATGTGCTGGCTGGTTTATATCATGATGGTGTTCTAGACAGCTAAATATGCATAGATGTGCACCTGCAACATTATATCACCCAGGAGTTGTGAATCCCAGGGCAGTTCACAGAGCTCAGCAAACTCCTTTTCTCCAAGTGGCCAGATAGTAAATATTTTAGGCTTTGTACATGGTGTGATCTATGTGACTACTACCTGACTCTCCTTTGTACCATGAATGCAGCACTAGATATGTAAATGAGTGTAGCTGTGTTCTAGTAAAAATTTATGTGTGAGTTTGAATTTCATATGTTAACATGTCATGAAATATTTTATTTTTATTTTGTTCAACCATTTAAAAATGTGAAAACCCTTCTTATCTTAAAAGTCTTAAGAAAACAGGAGGTGGGCCAAATTCAGCCTGGGACTATAATTTTTCTACACCTGTTCTAGTCTATCCAACATTTGCTTTTAATACTAGAATTCCTTTCTGTTCTTAGTGAGCCCTTGGCCTTCCTTGGGCTAGCATAATGTAATATTGGAGGATAATTTTAAATAAATTACTAAAAACAGCTGCAGTTTCCGCCATTCTGGAAATTATCATCTGGTAAAGGAGACAAACAAATAAGTAAACACAAATGTAACATAAATTGTAACTAACATGACATAAAAGAATGGTATACTGGTTTGCTAAGGCTGACATAACAAAGTACTACAAACTAGGTGGCTTAAAACAAGAGAAATTTATTGTCTCACAGTTGTAGAAGCTAGAAGTTTAAAATCAGATGTCATTTTTTGATTATCTTAGCAAAGGTCCTATTTCCTAACCAGGTGACTTTCGGAGGCACTGGATGTTAGGACTTCAACATATGAATTTTGGAAGAAACACAATTCAGCCCATAACCAATGGGTTTCCCAAGGAAGAGTATCAGGGAAGCCCCTCTTTAAATCTGGGATAAGGGAAGTCTTCATGGAAGAAAGGATATTTTAAAATGACACCTCAAAGGAACAGAAAGTCAGGTAAAATTGGAGAAGAGTGTTTCCAGGAAGCTGTTCCAGTAGGAACAGTATGTATTAATAGGAAATCACTTTCTGATTTGAGGAACTGAAAAATGGTTTGGTGTGATTAGAAAGTATTAATTGACTAGGAGAGTTGAGATAGGCAGGAGATAGATCACAAAATCTGTAGTTTACATTAGGAATTTGGCTTTTATTCAATGTGTGATGAGACATAATTGGAGGAATTTTAAGTAAAAGAGTGACATGTCCTCATTTACATGTTAAAAAGGTAACATCTGCACAGAGAATGAATTAGAGGGCAAAGAAGTGAGATTAGACAGTAGACTATTTGCACTAGACCAGCTGAGAGATGATGATTGCAGTGGCAGTGGAGAGAAATGGATGGACTGGAGATGCATCTTGGAGAAAGAAGTAATAAGACAGATTTCTAGGTATGTTTGGTTGACAGAACTGTGTGGAAGCAGATTTTTTTTTTTTTTCTAAATTAGGGAAGACTAAGGGAGAATTAGGTTTGTTGGGAGGAGATAGGACTTCTGTTTTTGGGTATCGTTAAATGTGAGACTCCTGCAAAATCTGGGAGCCTGGGCAACCAGAAACCATAGACTCCTATCTAGTTTGTTCAGCACGCTGGGAAGTCTAGGACTCATTGTTAGCTGTGAGTGTGTGTGCGGGTGGGTAGGAAGATTTTGGTAGGGAACTGGATATATAACTCTAACATCATATCTATCTCTAAAGAGTTTGATTCTAAGTTCTGTTGTTCGAATGATTTAGTGTGTCATTATACTCCAGTAGTCTTTGTGCCAATAAAGGACCTGAGTTGTGAATCTGTTTATACCTATCTTAGTGTATCTTTTTTTTTTTTCTCAAGACAGAGTCTGGCTCTGTCACCCAGCCTGGATCGCAGGGGTGGTGATCTTGGCTCACTGCAAACTCCACCTCCCTGGTTCAAGCAATTTTCCAGCCTCAGCATCTCAAGTAGCTGGGATTACAGGTGCCCACCATCATACCCGGCTATTTTTTTTTTTTAATTTCTGGTAGAGATGGAGTTTTACAATGTTGACCAGGCTTGTCTCAAACTCCTGACCTCAGGTGATCTGCCCGCTTCAGCCTCCCAAAGTGCTAGGATTACAAGTGTGAGCCACTGTGCCCAGCCTCACTGTATCTTATCACCAACCACTCACTAAATTTACCAAAGGTTTTAGAAATGTACAGAATGGCTGGAAACGGTGGCTCATACCTGTAATCTCAGCACTTTGGGAGGCTAAGATGGGTGGATCACAAGGTCAGGTGTCCAAGACCAGCCTGACCAATATGGTGAAAACTTGTCTCTACTAAAAATACAAAAATTAGCTGGGTGTGCAGGCAGGTGCCTTAATCCCAGCTACTCAGGAGGCTGAGGTAGAAAATTGCTTGAACCCGGGAGGCAGTGGTTGCAATTAGCCGAGATCACACCACTGCACTCCAGCCTGGCGACCAGAGTGAAACTCCGTCTCAAACAACAGCAACAGCAACAACAACAACAAAAAGGATTATCCTACCCTAGACCTACTAAATCAGTTTGTAGCAGTAGGATCCTGAGCATCCACATTTTTATAAAGATTCCTAGTTGGTTTTCATGTGCAATCTGGCAGGGCTGGGAATCTCTGCTCTCATTGTTTAGGGCTGTCCCAGTACCAGATAGCAATGGCTGTGTCTTACCCACCTTAGTAAGCAAGGCCTCCTTGATTCCTTATATGTAACAAAAAGTTGAATATAAAAAAAGTTGAATGAATATTCATTGGTTGAATATATGAATTAATGAATTGTTAGTGACAAAAGTGTGGTGTAGCTAATAGTAAAAAAAGAAAAGGGGGCATTGGTGAAGGGGTCAATCCACTGTGGAGTATTGGGAGATGACAAACACCTTAATATGGCCTCAGTGCTGGGGAGAATTCTTACTATGGCTGCTTTGAGGCACACTGTAGATCAGTCTGCTTCTTGGACCCTATGCTGAAAGTCTTTCACATTATTCCACTGCAAACAGAACAAAGGCTCCTGCACAAAAGTATGCCATGTTCCCAAGAATCTGCAGAGCCTGGATTAGGCCTTTTCACAGCTTCCCCAGGGACAATTGATGAGTACATGTGAATGCTGATAATGTATTCTTACTAGCATTATTAATCAATTCGTAAGTTTACACTTCTAACTGCTGGATGAGATCATCACTACTTAGGTTTCAGAGATACATTATGTTTCTCAAAACTGTGATTGTGAAACTTTATTTCATGAACTTCACTATGTGTGTTGTTCATGTTGAGGTTCAATAAGGACAAATTTTTTTCCCACCAACTTTTTATTTTGAGAAATTGGAAACAACACACAACTTGAATGGATAATGCATTGAGTATTTGCATACCCTTTACCTAGAGTTGCCAGTTTTTAGTATTTTGTTCCACTGGCCTTATCTCTTACTATTTTTTACCTTTAAGGATGCATCTTGTCTAAAACAAATTTGATATTGACACAAGTCCAGAATGTAGCATACCTAGAAAGATTATATTAAACCTTTATAGGACAAAAATAAAAGAATACATTCTAATTATTAAAAATATGAATGAATGGATAAATAAATCTATCTTTCATAGCAAGTAGAGAGCTTTTATCAAGAGTTACAATGAATAACACTATTTTTATGGGCCAGAAAATAACGTAAGCTATTTTAGCTATACTATCCCATGCTTAGGACATGGAGGTTCACACTACTGGCCTGTTTACTTTCCAAGAAGGAGAGTACAGATTTTACAAAAGCCACTTTATGTAAGTCATTAAATATCCTGTAGAATGAAATCCGGAAACAGTTATCAGAGTTCATGTCACCTGATGTCAGGTATTTACATATTACCTGATGTCAGGTATTCACACATCACCTGATGTCAGGTATTCACACATCACCTGATGTCAGGTATTCACACATCACCTGATGTCAGGTATTTACTCTGGTAGACAGGGTCCGTACAGCTAGTCCATGGTAAAAGATCCAAGTCAGCTATGGTTTTGGTGCAGAGCTACTACAATTTTTCTCATGATGTCCTTTACCAGAGTTTTTGACACTGCCAAGTATTGTAAAATGATGCATGTGAATTGGGAGACTAAAAGTGTTTTCCTCTTGATCCAGTCATTTATAAATTATATTTGTACTAGACATACCCATGTGTGCTTATTCTCAGCAAACTGACACAAGAGCAGAAAATCAAGAGCAGAAAATCAAACACCGCATGTTCTCACTCATAGGCAGGTGTTGAACAATGAGAACACATGGACACAGGGAGGGGAGCACTACACACTGGGGTCCGTGGGGGGGAAATGGGGGAGGGACGGGGGGTGGGGAGGTTGGAAGAGATAGCATGGGGAGAAATGACAGATACAGGTGAGGGGAAGGAAGGCAGCAAACCACACTGCCATGTGTGTACCTATGCAACAATCTTGCATGTTCTTCACATGTACCCCAAAACCTAAAATGCAATTTAAAAAAAAAAGAGGAGAGAGAATCTAATCAGAGAAATCATTCTCAACTGATTTACATGTATATTAGGCTCTAGTGTAGAGGTTGCCTATAAAAGTTCCCTATGAATAAGAAACAGCTATTTCAG